TCACGTGACGTCGCCTCCGCGCCGCGCTCACCACCGTCACCAATATGGCTGCCGCCTGCCATTCCGCTACACCACTGTAGGTTTCGGGCCCATTGTAAGAACAAGAGTGAGAGGTAACGGATAACTTTACTAGATACAGAAAGCACTACAGTCTGGTCACAAACTGGTCGGTCCGTACAGGGAAAACAGGGGCTTTATATATCCTTGTCCTGTTCTTCCTGTTCTCCCGTTGGTCCGTTTCGTATCGCTACAATGGAGACGGAAAACTCGTGAGCGTCATTCAATACCCGCACGCCGCCACGCAGCCGAAAGTCGCACCACCGGTCACGTGACGTCGCCTCCGCGCCGTGCTGACTACCATCACCGATATGGCTGCCATCTGTCAGTCCTCTACACCACACTGCCTTCCACTCAGGAGTGAAGATGTCCTCATCTCCTGGCTTGGTTCACCGTACTGTTCACGATTATTATGATATTCGTTCGACACTAATCGCACTCACATCTGGCAGAATAGTGGACAACTGAATAGTTGACGGGGGAATTTGCTCTTGTAGACTTCCAGGAAGGCTACTTCATCCATCGTAGGTTTCTTTGCACTTGCAGTCCAGCTGGTTTCCACTGTCCAAGTCGTCGTCGCTGAGTTGCCAATGCCTCTTCAGACGCAGTAGTCCTAATCCCGGGCAATGTCATATGGTCCATTTTTTTTGGACATCGGATGAACGCCATGACAAATTCAGCTGGCATTTAAGGGTCTTTGCCTGTGTTGACCATAGAAGAGAAAGGGCTGGGGTTCGATTTGCGTTATTCGAACGCATCCGCTGCCACCAGTGTAGAATACCCGAGCCCTAAAAGGAAAAAAGACAGGTACAACAGAACAGGCTTTATTGACCAGTCGCAAGCCAGAGCCACGCGTCAGGCGCCCTCCATCCGAGTCCACCTCGCTGGCCACGCCGCTCTTTATATACTGCATCTTAGTCGTGTCCTTCTCTGGTTGACTGCCTTCCATTCCCGCATGCCATTGGATCGCAGAGAGACACGGGATTGGCTGCGGCCAGGTGGTCCAACATGTCTGCGCCCTAATCCGACGCCACACCACAGCTACACTCCACTACACCGGCAGAAAATTGTAAAGGTCTTGTAATATTTTTATGTATCCGGTAATACGTTTTGGTTAGTAAATGGCACCACATTAAGCTTTAGTCTCGGCTACCTAGTAGGCCTTACGTACGGCTTACGAGCATTGGTTTTAATGTAATTTCTTAGTACCGCCCCTTCAGCTGGTTAGTCACGATGAGACACTGCTTATTCCCTTTTTAAACAAATGTTTACTGAATTTAGTTTTAGATCAGTGAAGTAGTCGTGCAAACTGTCTTGTTGTTGAAGATAAGGGAATAGCCAACATTTTCAAACCATTTAACAGTTAAAACCTGATTGATAATTTTCTTTTTAATTTGTGGCGGTTAGACATGGAATATTTTTAAATGCACATTTTGCGGGATGGCTTAGATCTACCGAGGACTTTCTTTGGGACATAATCATTTCTCGCAATTCATTTTCGTAAAACTGGTTACGCCGGGCGCCACCTGTTTATAAATTTTCTTCGTTTGAGTAAGACAAGGATTGTTTACTGATATTGTTTAAGAGTGTCTAAAACCTCCCAAGAAAATGAACTTTTCAAACTAGCTCTTTCTCTGCTATCAACACACGGTGCTGCTACAGCATATTTTTGATATATTTTCAAATCGTTCTTTTTTTCATCATGCTAAACGTTTTATACCTGTCAATTGTTAAACCGAAAGTACCTGATTAGGCAACACCGGTTTATTCGCGTATAATTATTATTGACCATTACAAATAGAATTGCATTAAACCCAACGCATTTGATGATTCTCGATTCACTTAAGCATGTCCCTGAATTGGAATTATTAAACCGAAAAAAATTGCGCGAACGGCTGTATTGTTGTATTCCCTTAGTCATTAACTAGAAACTTGGAGTTATATAAATTGCATTGTATGTGGCTTTTAGTTACGTAAAACGTGGCTCGGTCCGAGGAGTATAGGTTTGGTGTCGCATGTATTCTTGATTTATCTCTGACCACATCGATGCAACGATTGTTTAGCGATTAAATTAACTGAGTTTCACCCGGTTTCTCACTTCAGTACTTTTGGGGAAAGCCGAATCCATGTGGGCACAGCTGAGGTTATTGGTGTTTGTACCAAATGTGGTGTGTTCACGTTATCTGTTTCTCTTTTTTTTACAAGTCTGTGAATTTAGCACCCTTAAAAGTGACTCTTCACTGTATAAAAGCCGAAAAAATCCTTAACGCCTGTCTCTCTACTTCGTTCTCCTATTCAGCTGATTCCCCTTTATCCATAGATGCGCTTGAGCTATGTCATAATGTTACGAGGATTTAACGCTAACAGGATTTTGAAACTCACATTTTTTACCACAATAATTGTGCTAGTAGAGGTTATGCTTATCCGCCTCCTACCGTTTTAGCATTCGGGACTTGGTGAAGTATGCTTGGAAGTTTCCTAAAGGACCTCCACGTGAGCTTAGTAAGTTGTTTAGCTAAAACAAGTTGTCTATCAAATGTAGAACGAATGTTCGGCTCCCAAGTATGCTGTAGTCACAGGCAACCAGGCCTGCGATTTGGATAGCATTGCCTGCGCGGTCAGCTATGCGTACATCAGGTCAAAGGTTAGCGCTTAGTGTGACGTTTTGATCAATACGGTGTCCCTCTTTAGGAGGACCCTGACTCAGGGACCGTCTACGTACCATACTGCAACATACCTGACCGTGACCTAGATTTACGCACTGAGGTTTCGTATTGGTTGGGCGCCTGTAATATTGACAAGACAGATCTCTTTTATTCCGGGAGTTTGGATTGCTTGTTGAAGCCGACCACAACAAAGGAAATAGGTGTAATCTTGGTGGATCATGCACAACAAGAACCAAACAACGCATTCAGCACCTGCTCCGTTCAAGAGATAATTGATCACCACCCCTTGTTACCAGGTTACAAACAGCCAGACACTTGCGCTTACTTTCTTGTTGAGCAAGTTGGTTCCTGCGCGTCTCTAATAGCGCTTGAACTGTTTAAACGAGTTCCCAGGGAGCTGATACCACCGGAGCTTTGCCAATTGTTATATGGTTAGAGGCTTAGTTTTGTCTTTTCAGCTTGTTTATTTTTAGGTGCCATTGTGATAGACAATGCCGGATTGTCGGATCTTGCAAAACAGCTGCAAAAGGCCACACCGAAAGACTTGGAAGCTGCGGATAAGTTGGAAGGTTTTATGAAAGCCGCTGCGGTAACTGGGGTCTCAACGAGAGAAGCTGTTTATGAACAAATCAAAGAGGCCAAGTTCTCTATTAAGGGTGAGGCAAATGTAGACACTTGTTTTCTGGGCTGCTATTATCGAGGAGGAACAGAGTGCCGAGGTTTCCTTCGTATTGGTAGCGTTTCCAATTAGTCAAGATCAGAGTTATTTTTTGTTAGTTTGCCAATTCTCACAAAATGAATCCATCTAACTTCTTTGCAGACCATCTACATGACTCGGTATTAGCCAGATTCATTGATTTAATTCGTTCTTTGAATAGACTACAAGTTCCGGACCAGGGGAAGTTATGTAGGTCTTCGTATCATGTCACAATTTCCTCCATCTTATTTCAGTCAAATTTCCATTTTTTTTGCACTTCTTGCACCCAACACCACTCGAGGGTTCCACTGGCATAATTTTGTGTCATCTTGACAGGTTTTACACAACGATGCGCCATTATGAGTGTGTTAAAGTAAACACATTTCCTCTGACATGTTTTCCATCCACGAGTCGTCATTAGCACCGCCTTTTGTATGTCGCAGGGAATTAACGTCCATCGATCTACCTAGGTTTTGTTAGTCTTAGTTGCGGATGCACTGTTAATCGGTAACAATACAAGTAGTTGTGGTTTCCCGTCTCTCCTAGGTCTTTCACTATGGGACCTCTTGAGACGAGATTTCAAGAGGGTAAATGCTGATTCCGAGCACCAGTTGGAGATAGTTTGTTCTACCATCACAGGAATGGACTTTGTGGTAGGTTTGTCATGGCTTCTCGAAACGTGTTTTTTTTATCTGCATTCTACCAAATCTCGTCATTGCTTGTCCCAGACATTTTCTGGTTTATGGTGGTTTCAAGGGTTGGCTTTTTACACCAGGACAAATCAGGTCTCAGACTGGTTGTTGCCATCGTCAGATAAATGGCTGTTTAACGCAGTAATTTTAGTCTTCCTGTTGATTGCTTTTGTGTATCCGTAGGAAATCTTCATCAGGGACATCAGTTTTTGAAAGCAGCCTGTTGCTTTTAGGCTTAATCATTCACTGGTTTTGGGCTCGCAAACCGGAGATGATTAGTTGAGTTCCGTCATTTACTAATCTATTTTCACCGGTCTCATTTCATGTCTAAAGGAACTATTAGAACACCGGGATTTTGGCCAAGTGACAAGACGCTTTTGCGAGGAGCACGGTGCACAGGTCTTGGTTTGCATAACGGTCGGCAATATTTCTGTCACCTCTTCCGACACCTCAGTGGCCAGTGCTATTCGCCTAGGACTGGTTGTTACTGCCCTCCATGACCATCGTAACCTGGCTGAGAAAGTGAGTAACTTCCGAGCCACATTGATTAGATCCATGCAATTTCGTGCCTCAGTTTTCATTGTGAAGATAGAATTTAGGTCCCAAGTAACTCTCTTTTGTTCTCTGACCACCGATTGATTTGTGAGGTTGCATTCCCAATTCAAGTCCACACTCCTGCGTTATAAGAATTTATTTGATAACACCGCAATATATTTTGCTTGAATTTTCTAACTGGGCCAATATGATAGTCCGAAATTCATTTGCTAATTCGGCTAACCCCATGAATTTCACGTCAAGTAGTTTGTTATACTAGTCCGTCCACAATGATAAGTGTAACCGTGGTCATGTAATGCCAGAAAGCATTCACGACAGCTGAGATCTCCATATTTAAGCGTTACCGTTGACGCTACTCTGTGGCAGAAAATATCCACATTTTCGAAGATTCTATTAGTAAAGGTAATTTGTGCCAAACTGCAAATAAGTAGGTAGTAAAGAGAGTTAGTGAGGTAACGTGGTTGTGGCCTCAGTCAAAGGTCTGTGAATTGGGTTACCTGTTGCCTGCCATGTACTCCTGTTACTGCTGCTTAACATCGCATCCCTCTGTCTACGTTAGCATTTTTCGTTGCAGGTCCTGCCTATAATATTTAGGAGGTCATTTGACTTGCCCTATTGTTCGTTTAGGGGAGTCGATCTTTCTGGTTAAAATCTTTCCCACGCAATTCCCATCAGCGGAATAGATGCACAATAAGCTTTCAGCAGGATTTTTATTCCCCGCTTTGATGAATGAGCTAGCGATGTTCTTGAGAAACCTGAGTACTTTTGTTGCCTGAGTCGATTCTGGTTTAGCAGTCGGGAAATACCAGTTACTTTAACTAGCAAGTAGTAAGCCTATCTATTTATAGCGATACAAAGCATCCTGATTCAAATTATTCATAGTGGCCTAGATAATACGCAAACTGTGCTACTATTTAACAAAATTAGAATGCTTGTAAAGTGATCTGAGCTGTCAGTTGTCCTGTCACCTAGTAAACTGGTGGTGCGTCCATTTGTGTGGAAATTGCGTGTTTGCGTTTTTGATCCGTGTTTTTAAAGGGACGCCGTGGAATGAACTTGGAAAGGGTGCCCGACTCTATCGCGGATCACTGTCATTTTTTTACTATGCAAATTTAACATGGGTGCTGAACTACATCCCAATCGCTCATAATTAGCCCCTTACAAGACATTTATCGAAGCTGAATATAATCGTGCTTCTGTCATGAGTGAATTCGAACTGCTGCTGCTTCCCACTCGCATTCTTTAGCTTGCGGTCGCAATAGATTAATCATTTTTTGGGTAAAGAGTCGGTGGAACAGGACAGATGTTTTGCGCCCCCATCTGTCTTGAATAGTTAGTGAGTTTCGGGGAATTAGTATCCAGAATTAAACAATAGCTGTGAGTAGACATCAAAAAGTGGCCAGTTTATGCTCTTGATGGCGGGTTTTAGTGTTACACAGGCAGCTCCACGCTGCCCCGTCACATTCCCCGCTTTTCCCACGTATTTTTCGCTTTATATAATCTTATCTCTTTTTATTGAACGGAAAAATCCTCGATTTGTTTAATTAGGAGGGAACACAGCAGTAGTGTATCACAGATTTAATTACAGAACTCACTGCTACTTTTAGCTGATGAGATGAGTTCGTCTGGTTTGCAAGTATCTCTGCTGTAGTGAATTTGGCTAATTTTACGACCGTCATGATTACGGTGCTCGCGCATTACCGGACCTGGTTTTTGAGCTTTTAGTTGTGGCGTCACCTGATGGCCTCAAAAGTCCTCTGCCTGGAACCACCCTCGAAGGAATCGAAGCTCAACGGAGGGGCCGAATCGGTCGTTTTCGCTGCAACCATTACCAATAAAGCCGTGACGCGGAAACAGGCCATTCCCATACTGATCGAGTTCTTACGCTCCGAAAGGTGATGCGTGTGCGTCAGGTTGGTCTTTCTTACAACTATTTGACCATAGTGTCCTTGCTATATCACCTCTAGAGCCATTATTCACGTAATGTAAATGTAAAATGACTGCTTGGATTCATTTTAATCGGAGCCGGTTGAGTAGATTCCACCAGCTCTTCAAACAAGCCCCTTCCCTTGGTGGTCATCCAGCGTCATGTGATGCAAGAGAGCATCTCACACGATTGAAGTATTTAGGCTCCTCCAAATATCTTTTCAAACAGCCCTGGTTGGAACCCTGTCAAATGAGTTCCGGTTTGTTATTATTATTACTGATTATCGCTTTCGAAAACTATATTACGTGTTACTTTCCTAAACGCCGCCCAAACAAACGTCTGTTGTGAGCTGGTTCTTTGCCTTGCCCTTCACGTACTCTGCTCCACCGGCTCTAATTACTTGCATGTTTGTTATGACCACAAGAGGGAACGTCTTTAGGTTTTATACTACGACAATTCGTCCTTGGTAGACAATTTCGGTAACTAGCACCTGCTGTCGTGATTTTACTCTCGGTCGTAATTGGTGGTGCTTGGAATGAGCTGTCAAACGCAATCTTCAAATAAATGGGGATATTTTTATGCAGATTTTTGAACGTCTGTGTAGTGTTTCATCTCACTAGCCAACTAACTACCTGCTACACCGATTCCGGGCCTACGTGTAAGGCATTCTCGACAAATTTGTTTCACTTTTTTTTACTTTTCACAATGATTAAATGGTGCCTGGAATTCACACCAACAAAAGTGATTTCACAATTTCGCTTTCTTCGCTTTACGCATCTCTCAATTTTTCACGAAAAGCCATACTAGTTTATTTTTTTACTTTGTAAAGCAAGAAAAAAGCCTGGATATTATCCTCGGTTGATCAATGCAGCTGTCCACAAATTTCAAGATGTTCCAACACTAATCATTCGCTACTCGCATTACGCAAGTGCGTATTGTCAGGGTGGGGTCTTGCTGCGTTTGTGCGTCTGTGCGGGAAGAGGCTCACGCTTGATATTAAGGAACGATATGTGCATTAAATACTTAAATCGAACATCCTAATGTCTGTGTGCGCGTGTGACGTCGTAGCTAATCAGGCAGTACTCCATCGATCTACTGATTAAATCGTCCGGTGACTGCCGGCATGTGGCCACACACCACTACGTAGTCCTCCAGGCAATTCGCGATGCCGTCCTATTTTCGCCTCTGAAGCACTTTCCCTCTACTGCGTGCTGACCGATCAGCTGATCCATCTTATCTGGCTCTAAGACTCTCCACACGTGGGTATCCCAAGAGCACTTCGTTCATTGGCTGTGTGAAACCGTACTGCTGTCCCAGGCTTTAATTCGTCGTTCCTCATGAAACCTGTCGATGTCGAAAGCACATTCGATTCTGCATTCTGTTGTTAAGGCCACGTTTACTAAACCTACCGCCGATTCACGACATGATAGAATTATGCAAGCGATTTCCATGCAGGAGAATGTTGTTTCGCTTTACATCTCCCAATCTTGTTTCCTACGCTATATTAGAGATGGTACACCGTAGGTATTGCCTCTCACAAGCACAGTGTAGTTGAAAATTCGGTACCGAACAATTTTTATCGAAGTAGAACGTTTCTGGTGAGCACTTTCGGGTAATGTGGGGACTAACTGCTCAAATTGTCCGTCTGTCTCAAGCACTTATTAGACGGTGATTGCATGTGCACGACATTTTGACGCGGATTTATGACAACGAAAAGACGATTTTATGCTCACGCGGGAGCGCTTGCGTGCGAGGCAATGAATATCAAAATAATGGTCGCGTCAATGAGTGCATTAGTCTTGAAATGATTAATATGACCGCCTATTTGAACTTGGCTATAGGCGTGTAATTGAGCACAGACTGTGTGTATTACCATGTTGTGGGCCCCAGCATGTAGTCTTGAACCACGCCGGGGCCACTGGGTTAATTCTGACCCGATTACGCTTCCCAGCTGCCCGTGATGAAGAAGACAGAAGACGTGGACACAACCGTTTACTTCAGATCTCAACCACGTTGGTGTCGTGTCGTGTGTGGGGTTTGCGTGTGTGTATTTATACCTTAGACGCGCTAACATCGAGATCTGGGTGTAAGGATGATCCAGGATAAATATTCGTGTGAATGAGGGGGAGTTGAGGATCTGCGCGGCTGGCAACATACTGCGAAAAGGGGAACCCTATGTCGGAGGCTTGAGTGACCGGATTAAGGGGCGTGAATAAGCACGATTCGCAACAACAATTTACAAATCTAGATCATTCTTGGCTCATGCGGTGGTAGCTAAAAGCTGCATTGATCGACATTTGCGATTCTAGAGAAACGTGCACTTTGCTCGTGAGGTGATGCTTCAAATGAAATGCACAAAAAACGGCATGTATGGGTAAAAAGCAGGTTTTCTCATTGTCGTCACCTCAGGATCCCAGTCGATCGCTTGCTTCGGGTTGTGCATTTCCCACTTGCTAATTTTACTTGCAAATGAGTGACCTGTCAAGACCACCTGACCCAGAGTTGTGGGTTGCCTCAATCGCTGATCGAGTCAAGCATCTCACCATTATTGCATAGGTGTTGTGTGTGTGCAAACCATTTATGTAAACTTCCCTTGTTGCCTCAAGCATCAGTACCTTTAACTTGAGGCCTTTTTAACATATGCATCCACAATTATTCAATCTGGGTATTTGCGAAAATACGTGTGAAATATTGCAGTTCCGCATTGTTTTCCTTATGTAGTGACGCAGAGGGGTTGGAACATGACCAATCCAGGCTTGGCTTTGAAAATTTGTCACAGCAGTGATTAAAATTGTACCATTTTGCACTAACCGTAAAAGCCTGTAATGTGCCCGCCTGTTCTACACCACTACCGTCCCGTTCCGTGGGCACTCGAATCCCATTCAAGGTGCATTCTTCGAATTAGAAATTCGCAAGTTTACGCAACCTTCTGTCTCTGCATAACCTGCCTCTTCAAATTTCCGTTCTAGATAGTTGCTGTTTGCCACTTTTCTGGTTTAGCAATAATGGGATCTTATAATTAAATCATGTGACTGGTTCCTTGTTCACGACCCGTGAAGATTGCTTCCTTTCTCTGAAACACGTGTTTTTTGGAGTGCGTTCCGCTGAACTGTCTAGGCGTATTGTCGACCGACTTCGCACGATGACGCTGTCGTTTGTGTGCAATATATTAGCCTAATGGCGCAACGCCATCAAGTCCGACTTTTTTATTACGGGGGTCCTATCTTGTGCGTAATGTTTACTTCGCGGATCATCCCGTGTTTGATTGGCCGCTGTGTCCCGGTTAAATGGTGCCTCGACCGCAAGTGGCGGCGGCTGCGGCGGTGGAAGAGGAGTGACGCAAATCAAGCCAACGCTTAAGTAGTGGCGCCTGTCACTGTCGCCTGTCGTAACATTTACGCACGTCTAAGATTTCCAGCGTGGTTAGGGCGGGCTGGCCTTGCTTCAAGTGGGAGCGGTCGACCGCGCCAGGCACCCGCGAACCTCGTAAACAGGCTTCTGCCCGCATATCTTGTGATCCCGTCCGACGCAACCTCGTAGGTGCTGCTTCAATTTCGCTTGAATAAAAGTAATCTGTATGGTTTTTGGAAGATGTTCTACCCTCCAGCTTTGTCCTCGCACTCCTTCACTCTTCCAGCGTTGCGAGGAGGCCACATTGTTAGTTTTTCTCACCGGAATCTGGTTTTGCCATGACATTGAGGTATTTAACAAACTAAATTGACTCTGGTCAGTCTATTCTTTACTGATGATGTAGCGTGGGCGTAAAACTTGCAAGTCATGGAATCTAGTTCTAAGCGAATCGCAGTGGAAAACCACCGGGACTAACCAGATGTTGGCCTCTGTCGTGGTACCCGCATCCTACAAGTCACGCCTACTTACAGTTAATTTTGGCATTGTAAAAATGCCGAATCTGTAAATTGGGTCACAGATGGTGCCTAGTTATTCTGCCAAAACGCAGCTGGCCTGATAAATGCTTACTTTACCTCAAACACAGGCTCGAATTGAAAATTCGGTAGCAAGCACTCTTAGAAGTGTCACTTGAAGTGTCAAATTGGGTCAGTCGTTACTAGCGCCTGAGGTCTCGTTTAGTCAGCACACACACACAAGGGAAATCAGGCAAAGTGTGTTTATGGTTTTCAAGGTGCCGACTAAAGTGTGCATCTCAATATCGGCCTATTTCCGTGCGTTGCAATATGCGAAAGCAGTTACGATTTGGTGGATTTTGGGAAAAAGCGAAGATGATTGAGGTGAGTGGGGATTGTAAGAGAAGTAGCCCCGCTTTTCAAAAACGCGCCACACAGAGATACTGCGGCGAGCTTGGTTTCTGCAGACGGGACGCGATCGCATTCAAAACCTTCCGTGGTTCTTTTTGTTCCAATGTCTTGAGTGTTTGCGAGGGCCAAGGGAGTTGGGTTTTTTCCCAAAACCGTTCGATCAAGCTTCTTTCAAAGTACAAACTAGCGTTCTTTTTGTAGGTTGGTTTCTTGAACACATGTTTTTTCTGTGCTAAATTTCTCGCCTATTGGCGGCTCAGTGAGTCGGTCAATCGGCGTGGTAGGATCGTGCAGTTTCTCCTACATTTCCACATTCTTCCTGATCACCGATTTTTTAACTCAGCAGGGTTGCTAAATGTGTCCCAGCGGACACCGATGTTCTATCAACCGATTCCCATCTTATCATGCAGTGACGGAATACACTCCGTTCCGATGTGGTCAAAGTATTTTGTTGGTTTTCAACGTATGACCGCGGTCCCTTATCAAAATGGAGGCGAGTTAACGTGGACACATTGTGCTAATGCGTCTAACAGCAGGCGAGTGAAAAGTTTGGACAGGTTGTGCTGTGATATGGTGTTAAGTAGATTGTTTTTGCTTTCACAGCAGCAGTTTTTCAGTGCAAGAATTAAACACAATTATTTTTAGGATCTCAGTACTCGTTCTGTTTGGCAGTTGGCAAAAAATTCGTCAGTTTTTGG